ATATTAAAAAATTGATATATTATTATCCCTAGAGGCTCACAGCGTGATAGAAATGTCATGGCCCTGCCCAGCACGCCCACAGTCCCTGTCCCCTGTTGTTCCGCGCTGCCTGGTGTGAGGCTGCGGCTGCTGCGCCGGGGCAGGTAGGAGAGGGGTGGTGACTGGTGAAATGCCAGGGGATCCCGTGATGTCCGTAGGGACCCAGAGGAATAACGTGGCCCTTGGTTATGGCAACTCCAGCAGCTTTGCAAAGTGCAGTCATTTCTTCTCCCTACGGAAGAGCTGTACCAACGGTCAGCTCGAGCCACGGGTCTTCTCTGAAACCCTGCTACCGGGCTGAACCCCCAAGGTGCAGCACCGGGACGTGGCTGTGGTTGGCGAGCATCCCTTCTATCCCCACGTCCATGGTCCTCAGCTCCTCCGGGCAGCTACTCAGGGTAGTAGCCCATGGACCTGGGTGTTTCAGTAACGGGTGTTCAACTATTCACCCCTCCTCTGGGTGACTGCGGACCTCCTCTTCTCTCAGCAAGCTGTGCTCTTTAAGACTTTAAAGTCTTGTTATTTAATCAAAAAGCTCTCTCTATGAAAAGATACAGGATAACTCCTTCCTAGCTGTTTCTCCTGCTTTCCCTTCCCATATTTTCCAGCTCCATGGTTTCTCAGTGTCTTGCTGGGAAGAGCTTGTGTTTTCCAGGCAGTGCTATTTGTTTGCTGGAAAGTTTGGAGGCTGCACATCCCGTGTTCCTACACTACCCACCGTACTGCAGTCTGTCTTACTGTCTGACGCCTGGTGAAGATTGAATGTTTACCCAAAGGATTGAACCTGTCTCCCCTACTCCATGCAAGTCTTGGGAGCTAATCAAACAGGAGCCTTTGTCCAAAGGGCTCCTTCTCTTGTGCCGAATAATCAAAATCCTCTTTCTTTGCCTTGCCAACAGGGTATGTCCAAGCATGTCGAGCACTGATGATTGCCGCCTCCGTCCTGGGTCTTCCCGCTATCTTCTTGCTGATAACGGTCTTGCCCTGCATCCGGATGGGCCATGAGCCTGGAGCTGCCAAGTACCGGCGGTCCCAGCTGGGAGGGATCCTCATCATCCTCCTGGGTAAGGTGCCTGCCGAACGTGGAGAGCCGGAGGTCTTCCTCTGCTCCAGGACGGCAGGGTGCAAACTACTTGAGCATGTTCACCTGAAAGGATGGCTGTCCAGGCTGGGCTGACGCTGAAGCTCTCCAGCATCGCTGCAGTCTGTGGGGGGAACAAAAGGCACGAACAGGAGTGGGAGGACAAAGATAGGACGCAGGGAGCAAAGCAGGGCGAAGAAGGAAGGGCTATGAAACCCTACTGTCTTGTGGAGTCCTCGGCCACCGCCTGTGTCTGTGGGAGGGTGATAGTTGCCTGCAGGCACTGGTTTTGCTGGTTCGCTCTGGAAGCGATGCTATTTTTGGAAAAGGGTCTAAACTTCCAAGCTGCTGACAGGGAATAGACAGCCTCTGAATTTTCCCTGAGCATCGCAGATGTGTCCAGGTCAAAGTAAGCTGAGGTGTGTGGGAAGGGAAGCCCGCTGCTGAGGGGGTGCTGGTCCTGCGGGGACAGCAGCGGAGGGAGCAAGGAGGTGGCACGGTCCTGGGAAGAGGGATGGCATGTCCCCCGTGCCTCCCAACCCCCTCGCCTTGCCCTTGGCCTCCAAGTTCCCCTGGGAATTTCTTCTCATCCTCAATGCCTGCGGAGGAGATTGTTTTGAGCAGCGCAGACTGTGGAGCTCATTGTCCCCAGTGCAACACCTGCATGTTCTTGAAGCCTCGTCATCTCAGCAACGGGCTGCGGTGCCTTGTTTTTACCCGTCTGTGTGGCAGAGGAGGAGGGGAGAGGGAAAGTGGCCTCTTTGTGTGGCTCTGCTGGTCGCTGGCAGCCAGCGCTGACATCATGCCCGTCTTCTTTCTTCTTCTTCTCCTCTTTATTTTTCTTCAAGTGGGCACTGGATGTAGCTGCATGCTCGGAGGGGCTGTCCTCTGGATGCTCCTTCCTCGCAAGTCGTCCCTCCTCCGGTACCTTGGTGAGAAGCAGTTAGTATGAGTCAGTACATCTGAAATCTAAGAGACTGAGACCGAGGGGGCCTTTCGATGCCTGTGAGGTTTAAGGGCACGTTGCCACAGCTGGAAGTCCTAAAATCAGCTATATATAGGGCCTGTTTAGGACATCCCTATCATGAACAGCCATGTTAGAGAGCTGTTGGAATGTAACCTTCATCCCTGCCCCGAAACCTTGAGTCACATGTTTGGGCTTGGCAAAGTGAACGAAAAAGTGGTTTTTTCTGCCCGTGAATGAAATTTTAGTGCCAGAGGAGTCTGCTCTGCCAGATTTCCCCTGCCCAGGATGGAGGAGGCCCAGCAGAGCTGCACTTTGTCACCAACAAACACCAGCTTTTGGCTCCGGTCAAGGAGCACCGTGCTGTAGCTCAGCCCTGTTTGCATGGCTGCAGATGTGCGGGTGAGAGTATTGCCCCTAATTCCCAAAGGGCAACAGGGTTACAGGACCAGCACACGCGCGGCAAACAAATTGCACTGACAGTACTGGGTAACGCTGCATTAGAACAAGTGAAATCCCATATTTTACGGTCTTGCCACCAGGGTTTGGGGTCTAGTGTGCCACTCTCCCATCCTGGTCTTGCTGCGGTGTGACACCAGGGAGGAGAATCGACGTAAGAGGATGATGGAGATAAGTCGTGATGCTCCACAAGCCAGGCTCCTCTCTACCTCAGAGCATGGTTTTCCCACTATGTAGATCCTGTGAGGAAAGGAAATGTGTATTTACAGAGACGTTGGCAGACAACTGCTCTTTGGGTCAGATTTGGACTTCTTACTGATTTTTACCCCTGTGAGTTTTGAAGCATCTACAGGTGAAATGCTTTGCTCGTGTCACTGCTCTGGGCTGGGAACAGCAGCCTGGTCACAATGTTTTAGTCACAACTACAATAATGCTCTTTTTGTCGGATCACAAATGAAGAATAAATAAGCTCTTTTTGCTCTTAAGTTTTTGGTTTTGGTTTTGGGTTTTTTTTATTTTATTTTTTTTTTTATTTTAAAAACAAACCACCCACATTTATTTTTACAAAACCCAATTTTTTTTTCCAGGCTGATCAGCAAGAGAGTCCCTTTGGAAGAAGAATAATGTACAGAGCTTGGGACTTTGACATTATTTAAGCTGATTAATGATCTGTTATTTGCAAAATGAGGTGTTACCATCCTGGAGCATTTAATAAGCTTGAATCAGGCCTCTAAAGACATAATATTGACTTAAAATTCATTATATTCTGGAAGTAATATGCTCTGGACTGTTCTTATTTACCCCCTGGCCCCTGAACTCTCATTCGTGGTTTTTCCCAACCGCACGGGCTCCAGCCTTTTCCTTAAAGCGGAGACCAACTCCCAGAGCTCCGATTAAAAGAAAACAAACCCCCGAACACTCACAAACATAGCAGAAGTAGGGAGTGGAGATGTGATCAGGGGAGCTGGCCCCACGGCAAACTTCCCTTGTTGCTCGGGGAAGGGATGGCAGTTTGTCACTGAAATTAATTAAAAAGGAAAACGGGTTGAAACACAGCGTGAAGTCAAAAAAAAAAAAAAAAAGAAGGGAAGAAAAACTTGCCAGGAAAACAATGGGTTCAGATGTTCCATTGATTTTTCTGTCCACTGATAATAGCAGGCTGCAGAGAGCAACCTGTGTGCGCACCCTCCTATCCTGCCTGCTGATGTATTTATGTCTTTGCTTGATCCTATCTGTCCGAGAGAATTGATTTATTGCCGAAAACAACCGTCAGCGGAGGTTTGCTCTGAGCCAGTACGAAAACATTTCATAGGCTGGTGTTGATGGAAAAACCCTGGCCCATCCTCTGTCGTTGATACTAATTTGGGGGACCCCGTGCTGGTAACCAAGCAGATGTTTTTCTAATGGAGGTGAGGGACTCGAGACACTGGAAAACACAGATGGAAAATATGTTAGTTATTGGGAATTACTACTGCACAATGACCATATTAGCTATTGTATACTAAATAAACGATATTAATAAGCTTTTCTGAACACTGCATTTAGTTGTAAAACCATAGATATCAAGATAAAAATATTACCTTGAGCACAGAAAAAAAAAAAAAATCATGGATATCTATGATTTCAACCAAAGGCTTTGAAAGAGAAGGCAGTGTGACTTTGACTCAGCAACTCAGAATAATTGAATTTAGATGTGAAAGAAAAGTATTCTTTCTTCTGCAGAAAGCCTCTGACTTACTGTTAAGGAATCTGGCAGGGACTCGCTGTCCCTTGAGTTAGACTAATCCTGCTCCATCTCCCCCACCTCGCCAAGCACCTTCTGTGCTTCTTGTCTACGTGTTCTTCCAGTGATTAACATACGCCCGTAATGTACAATATTAAGAGTTTCAGCTCAACGGATTAAGCTACTGCAAGTCCGTAGTCAAAAAGGACTTAGAAATGCTGGGAGCCTGGGATGTATCCCTATGGATTCACGGCGATCTGATGGAGCAAGGACAACCATACCGTGCGTTACTGAGATGACTTTTGCAGGTAAAGGCAGTGGCTTTTACAGGATTGCCTACTTTAGCTGCAAAAAGCAAGGAAGATTTCCAGTACGTGTGTGCCCCAAAACACGCCTGTTTTCCCAGCTAACCTAGTTGGTCTAATAGAAAATATTCCTTCTGTTTGCAGTCCTCCCCTTACTTTTCTGCCAGACTGTGTTGCTTACAGCAGCTCTACCATCTGAAGACATTCTTGTTTAGAGAGAGGCAAAGGGTCTCTCCGCATTAGCACAAAAGAGACGGGGTAATAGTTTCTATTCAAACACCTTTTCCATGTAGGCAGAGATTTTAGAGCTTTAAACTTGCCTTAAAATGCCTTTTCCAATCCCTTTGGATTTCTTAGCAAATCAACTTTTTTTTTTTTTTTTCCCAGCCTTTCTCCGTGATACAGCTAGACCAAAATTTTGAGTCCACCAAGAAATATTGCAATTGCAGCCCGTCCTTTTCACATCTTCTCAGAGGATTTACAGCCCAATCTAATCTATGCAGAGGGATGAAACCCAGTCCTGTTTCAGGGCATTCCTCTTGCCGAGCAGCGGGGTCACTGGTGACTGACGGCAGCTGGTAGCCTCCGAAGACAGAGAGGTCAAACGAACCCATGCAAAGTCCTTGGCTTGTGTTTCACAGCTTTCGAGTATTGTCAGCATTAAAATAAGGTGGTTTTACATGTAGCTGAGCCCCATGCACAAGAGATGCCATTGTGTTGGCGTCCCTGAGAGCTCTTCTCACCCCAGTGCAAGTGTTTTCTTCGGTCCTGTGTTGTGGGGGAGGGTCTGGATAGATAAGGCTCTTATAGTCTATGGACATAGATAGATAGAGAGAGATATATATATATTTACTGCTGACAGAAAAAGAAAAGATGATTGTCTTTTTCCGGACAACAAAGCAGCTTTTTTTCCAGAGCCCATTAGAATGCTTTGTGGATTCCTAACTGATACATTTTTGTTTTAAAGCGTTAGAGGCTCACGAGCTGTTGTCAGGACCGATCCACACGCAGGAGAAATGCTGTTCCCCCCCTCCCTGCCTTCTCCAAAAATTCCTTCCAGAGCCGCGGGACCCTTCCTTTGAGGAGGCCCAGAATTATTACTGGCTTTATTAGCATCCTTCAATGTTCTTCTCTTTTCCATAAGAAAATATTTTCTCTCACAATAACTGCGCCTATTGGGGATGGGTTTTCTGCTGGACCGGCCAGGAGCTACGGTTTGTTCTCTGCTTTAACTAAACAATTTTATTTTTAATCTTATCCCCCCCCCTTTTTTTTTTTCCCTCTTGCAACCTTAACTTTTTGACACTGCCTCCAGATACCTTTTAACGCGGTCGGTGGAAATCTGTACCGCTGCCACGATCCTGTTATTGTTTTGCTCTGATTCTCTGATAGCCACAAGGATGGAGTCCTGCACAGCTTGTCCCGGAGGCAAGTAAATATTGACAGATTAATTCTTCTCAGATGTACAGGCCATAAAGGAGTATTGTTTTAGGACCTGCTCCTGTGAGGTGATTAACACCATCGACTCCCGTTGCCCTCGGTGCCCGTGGGGACTTTGCGGGACGGAGGTAGGACCCTCGGTGAGGGTAGCGAGTGTGACCTTGTGTAGCCGAAGGAGAATGCAGGGCACGTGTTTTCTCCCTGCTTGGAGCAAACCGTGTGTGCTTTGAGTAAATCGTGTGTGGGTGCTGCACGCTGAAACACTGGGGTCCCTACCCTGGCTGCCTGCAAAGTGCTGAATTTGAACCCGCTTTGCTCTCCTGAGGGTGTATCGCCTTCACGTGTCGTCTGCCTAGCAGTCCTCAGCACCGTTTTTTTCGTGGAAAACAACCTATGGAATTTCCAGCAAAATTTGAAGTCCGCAGTCATTTTTTGACCCACTGTAGACTCTAGGTAGCATACTGTTTTCCCTTCTGCAGACCCTTCAGGTCCGATTTCTATTCGGTTCAATAGGTTTCTGGAGAACCTTGCTGGGTCTGTCCCCATCACTTGATATAGAGAAATTTTCCACAGGGAAGTGGAATCTGCTTTCCAGAGTTGAGAGACATTTCCTTCTCCATAAAAAAAACCCCCAACTCCCGCTTATTTTGTCCTTACCCGTTTTCTGCTTGTATTATATAAACTCTACTCTGTCTTGCTAAATGCGGGAATATTTCATCAATGTTTGTGTGACCATTCAGTAGAGCAACCGCAGTGATGCTGACTGACATGGGTCGAGGACATAGCACATGAGTTCATGCAGAAAGAGCCATTTAAACCGGTTGACCCCGAGCCACCGATTTTGCGGTCTCACCGCATATGGTTTTCGTGGTCTTACTTTGTATCTATTCTATTCCTAATTCTGCAGCTCTCCAGAGCATCAGTTTCAGGGATGACTTTCATTCTTCACCCTTAGCGATGTTTCTAGGGAGCGAATCTGTTTCCCTTGTAGCAAATATATCAGATTGTGTCAAGCAGCAGTTGTTTTTTCCTCTTGCTCGTTGGTGCCTGAGAGAGATGGCTGTTCTCCCTTGGTCTCTCTCCCCACAAGGCTTCCACGCTGCCTCCTCCTCGGAGATCTCTTGGACCAAGCCTTGCTGCTGATGCTCCTGGATCCCACCACGGGTCTGCAAGGGAGGAGGGATGGGCTTCCTCTCCGTCCCCCGTCCTGCAGAGCCTTCCTTCCCCGTTGGTTTGCTTTCTGTCCCCGTGGTGGGGTTACATGCCGGAGTTACCTTTCCTTTCCATCTCTCCCCAGCCATGTGCGGTGTCGTTGCGACGATCTGGTTTCCCGTGTGCGCCCACCGCGAGACCACCATCATGAGCTTCGGCTACTCCCTGTACACGGGCTGGATCGGCTCTGCCCTCTGCCTCTTCGGCGGCTGTGTCATCGTCTGCTGCTCGGGAGATGCCCAGACATTTGGTGAAAACCGTTTCTACTATGCCTCTGGATCCAGCTCCCCTACCCACGCGAAGAGCGCTCATGTGTAAGCGTCCTGGGGATGTCCCACGGCTGCCGTCGGATGCTTTGGCTGGTGGGTTTGTGTGCCCTGGGTTTGCTTCTACTGCCACAGGCTGCTGTCAGGCTCCCAGGGGAAGATTTAGAAAAGCAGCACCAATGTCTGGTAGTTTGAAGCATTATTCTCCCCATCTGTTCCCCCCTTCTCTAGAAAGAAAGCTCCAGCCAGCCCTGCCACTTGGTCCTCCCCGTTTTGTCCCGACCTCCTGCCCCATCTTCTTCCAGCCAGGATGACTCGGATGGTTTGGGGTTGTCATGTGGGTTTGAGGGGTTTTTATTTTATTTTCTAGCTCCCCTGATTCTAGGAGAGTTGAAAGCAATAAAACAGACATGAGAGAGACACTTTCCCGTCGTTAGAAGGACTCTGGCAGCTTCTCCCACCACCACATCACTATTTGCTTTCCCCTGTTCAAGGTCACTGCTTTGGCACGGTTTGGGCGCGAGGGTAGGGAGGAAGGCTGTGCTCTCCAACCGGGCAAATGTTTCTCTTTCGGAACAAGAGTAGGGGAATTTTTTCTGCCTTTCTCTGTAAATACTTTTGTATGTGTTTGATCATTTTAGTAACAGGATTTCCCCCACCCCCACAGTCATCAGTATGAAGGAAACAGAACCCAAAGGTCCTAATTACGTGGTAGATAACAGTGCCTTTTTATATAGTTTTAAATGACTTTGGGGGCTCTAATCCCCGCACTCTGGTTTGGTTTCATTTTTTTCCTTTGTACAGATCAGTTACTAAAAATGTATTTTTACATTTTTTTTAAACTCCTTGCTTTCCTCCTCTAAGTTTGTGTTTTGTCTTGCATCACTGAAGTAGCACACTTTAACACGCAGTATAATGTACCCGTTACAACACAATTCTGGTGAATACTGATGATGCCTTTGTACTTTCAGTGAAACACTGTACAATAAATAACAGAGTACCTGCAACCACTGCCGGCTTTTTTTCCTTCCTTCCTTCCTATGTGTTTGGATAGCTAGCTTTTCCAAGGCAGGGGTTTCCCAATGATTTTGAAGATTTTTTTTTTTAATAGCAGTTTAATATGAGAGATGCTGCTCTGCTGTGGAATTAAGTGGGCCTTCTGTATTTTTTTGGAGAATATTTAAAATATGAGTAATCTTCCTGCATGGTACTGACCGCTGTCTTATCCATTTGTTCTTTCAATGTTCCCAAGAGCAGTTTGCACCGGTGGTAAGGACTTGTGGTACTTTTCATATTGGGGAGACTTAGAAACCCACCGAGGCGGTGGGGGTGTACCCCCAGCCCTCCTTGGGCGTGCTGGAGTCGAGAAGTCGTGATGCTGGAAGTGCTCGCAACTAAAATAAGAGTCTGATCTGGGGTCATCGCTCTGATTAAAGCTGCGTAAGATCAAGATCTAACTCTGTCCTTACCAGAGGCTGTAGCAATTTAATTATGGTGACACGAAATCCCATCTGTTCCCGGAGATGTTAACTCAGTTCAAATAATTTGTGTAAGCCAGGCTTGAGGAGCAGAAAAAGAGGAATAGCCGCTGTTCAGGCGTGGAGAAGGGGCAGAGCTCAGGTGTAGGAGGAGAGGACCGACCAAATTGTTTGGGGTGATGGAGAAGAATTTGAAAACAAGGCTCCTAGTCAAGCCTCGGTGGATTAGGGACTGTCCTTTCATCTTGCTCTACTTCAGTTGGAGAATCCAAACTGGGCGACACAGCCATGGGCAAGGATGCTACAGCTCCCACCCCTCACCTCCTCCGTGCGGGAAGTTGAGGCCAGAGCATTTAAAAGGAGTCAGAAGGAGGACGGCTGTGCTCCACAACGACCCTTTGCCTGCACGGAGAAGTGATGGGCAACAGCCCTAGCGTCTGCCTTTAACACCGAGCAGCCTTGAACGCGTTTCTGTTGTGTGAACTTCGCATCGCTGCCGTCCTATACAATGTCCCCACGGCGGGCAGCGGCGCGGGGCCGGTGGCAGGACACTTGTGCCCATTACATCACAGGCAGGGCACAGGCAGTTGTTGTATGCGCTGGAGGGACGCTATAAGTGCTGCCATTGATGTGCGGGTGCCACGGGCGAAGGGGTAGCGCACAGACGTGCCAGCTTGTGCAGGCTGCCCGGGGATTGTGGATTGTGCGCGGCTGCCCCGCGGCTTTAGCCGAGCGGCGACTCTGCCGGTTAACCCCGGGACCGATGGCGGCGTGGGAGACCTCGGAGTAGAAAGCTGCTGGAACATTGCCCTGCAAATGACCCTGAAGCAAACTGGGAGGGAAATTCAGAGGAAAACCTGTCTGAGATGAATTGAGGGGGGTTTTTTGGTGAGGTGTTGGTGCTGCTGGAGGGGCCCCAGCAGTGGTGCGTGACCCGATGGGGACTGAGCCCTCCCAGGTTTTTTTTGGTTTTTTTTGCTGCCCATGCCCTTGGCTGCATCTTGGCATCTTCAGGCACACGGGGCTGGGGACCCTTGGCAGGGGATGGTGCCGGGGCTCTGCTCGCTCTGCCTGTCATCACAGGTTACCGGCTGCTGATCCCAAATCCAACCCTTAAAAGGCCCTGGGCAAGCTGCTTAGAGGAAGGAAGAAGCTTTATTTCAGGGAAGAGAAGAAAAAACCAAACAAAGCAAGACATTGCCCTGAGCAGCTGCAGGGAAAATGGATATCTGCAACCGTGGGGCGCGAGGAGATGGGGCCAAGAATGGGATGGGATATTAGTGCTGGCACCGCAGAGGGGAAGTGTTTGGAGGAAGCACAAAGAACATTAAACTTTATTAGCTTTTAAAGGATCAAAGCTGAAATACCTGCTTTGCGCCCTCCCAAAACACCCCGCTCCCCTGTGGGGTTCTCCCGGGCTGGGTTGGCCGTGATGCTGTTGGCTCTTGAAAGCTTTTGGTGCTCGTTTGCTGACCCGAAGCCTCAAAATAGAGTCAAATATAATTCTCCTGAGTAGAAAAACTGCTCCACGCTGTGCCTAATATTAGCTGTGGAGTGGTGGGTGGGAGCTCTGGTGGTCACCCCGACGTGGAGGGGGTGGTCCCTGATGCCCCGGTGGAGGCCTCCCCATCTCCACCAGGACCAGCTACAGCTCCCCATCACGGGGAGCACGCCTGGCAGCCTCCCCATTCCCCAAACAACAGGAGGGAGCCCATGGGGGGACATCGGTGGCCCTGAGCACCCCGAAGGGGAGAGGTGGCCGTGGCCCTACCAGCGATGCCTGCCACCCCGGTGCCCGTGCAGGGGGGTGACGGTTACCCCAGTTACCCCAGAAAAAGGTGGGTACCGGCAGCACCGCGAGCAGACGGGAAGATATTGGCGCTCCCCAGGGCTTCGCACTGCAATAGTCAACCTGCGGTCATTGGCTTTAGGTTTTTTTCTTTTTTTTTTTTTTTTTCTTTTTTTATTGTGTAAACTGATAACCATTGTTTTCCACAACAGTGCAAGTAAATACCAAAATCAGCCCACTGAAACGGATCTTCTACAAAGGAAATTTTGAAACACTTAAGGCAAGATTTGTTCATCTCTAGCTTCAATTCAGCATTGAAAGAATATCAGACCTTCAGGTACTGATTGGCTTAACAAAACTTATATGGGAATTATTTTTTTTTAAACTTTTTGGTTTAGTCTTTCATTTAAAAGATTTACATTACTATGGAAACTGATACTAAGACACATTTGTCTCTGGCATTCTTTAAAAGTACCTTAGTTCCTGTTTGATTTTTAAATGTAAAGGCACACAATAAAGCTTTATGCATTTATTAAAATATACAGATTTTGGTAAATTTAGATTTTTTTTTTCTTAGTATCTTGATAATATATGTATTATATGTATAGTTGTCAACAACACAATCATCTGAAAATAAAAATCACTCCATAACATGTCTGCGCATTTTTTTTCTTTCTCATGACACACTACAAGATCCCATTGTACAATGCACCAATGGGCTTTTGGAAACCACAAAAAAAAAAATAAATTAATAGAACAAACTGTTTTTAACAAATACACCAGTTTCATACCAGAACTGCAGAGAATTGTTACACCAGAAAGTACCATCTGCAAAAAAAGCAAGATACACATCAGAAAGACCGAACAAAACGAAGTGAAGATCATTTACAAGCTGGATTTACAACATCCCATGTCGTTCGGGGCGTGATTTCTCTGCCGTGTGGAGGATGCCGGCGTGCTGGGCCTCGTGCCGAGTGGTCGTAACTGTGCGGAGTGAATTTATGGAGGGACTGAGACCTTACGGAGGTGGTCTGGAAGATCTGAGGTATTTCTGCTCCATCTGTATCGTTCATTGGGCCCCCCCAGGTACGTGCCCCACGGAGGGCGGTCGGGCCGGAGGGGCTGTGTGTCTCTCGCTGGTGGTGGGAGCGGGATGGTACGGCTCTGCCTGCGTCCTCCTGATGGGTCACGGCTGTGAGAACCTCCCTGAGGGCACCCAGGGGGAAAGGCTGGATTTTGGGGTTACAGCCAAACAAGCACTTGCACCTCCTCCCAGCATCTGAGGCCAGCGGTGCCCAGAGGCGATGGACACGCCTGAACGTTTTGGCCTTCGCAGCTTCTGCTTGTGCCCATTGAAGACTCCAACGCCTGCTACAAGGGAAAGCGCACGAGCTCCCAGACGGAGGCCGAACCCGCACGTCCCCTGGGCACTGCTGCCCGGAGCAGGGTGGGGGGACCCCGCTGCAAACCGGCCTTCCCGGGCACCGGCCGCTTGGCTGCTGGCAAACCCAGGCAAGACCCATCATGCGGCTCGTCCGCCTTCTCCTTATGCACCTCCGTTTTAGGTGGGATGTGGTGGGCTTGGGAGGAGGGCACGGCTCCCACCCCACAACACGGCGAGCGCCAACAGCAGCCCATCTGCATCAGACCGTGCCCTGGCATCAAATGCTGTTTCCCTGTGGTCCCGGGGACATGGCACAGCCATCCTGTCCCGGCACTTCCCCGGGAAGGGGAAGAAGGAGGGTGAACAGGAGCAAGAGCAGCCAAAGGGCTTCACTCAATGCA